CACAGACTCTGATAAGTTTCAAAAAATACTATACCAATAAAGGGGTAACCCCAAACGTTGTCAACTAGTAAGTGTATCTCATGACTTCATTCAAAAAGAAACTAAACAGGTTAAACCCAACTAAGAGCACAGGCCCTGATAACATCCGCTAAGTTCCTAAAAGATGGTGCTTCTGAACTGTCAATCCCTATTGCTCACATAATAAATCTATCAATCACCACTAATACCATACCGGAGGGGTTCAAGGAGGCCAGAGTTACTCCTATCTTCAAGAAAAATAATAGGTCTGATGTAAGCAACTATAGACCTGTTAGTATACTCAGTTTTAATATCTAAAATTCTGGAGAGGGCGGGTATTCTCAAGTAGTAAGTACCTTTAAAGACAACAGCATTCTCCATAGCTATCAATCGGGCTTTAGAAGATCCTACTCAACCGATACCTCCCTTATTAATCTGATGGATTACCTGAAAACTGAAATGTCAAAAGGGAACCTCATAGGTATGGTAACCTTAGACCTGCAAAAGGCCTTCGATACTGTCAACCACAATTTATTATGTAAGAAACTTTTAAGTTATCGGTATAGGTTCTGTAGACTGGTTTAAGTCCTACCTTAGCAACAGGAGACAAATAGTCAAAAACAACAAAACGGAATCAGAAAACCCCCGCCGATAACATGTGGAGTTCCCCAAGGTATATTTTGGGTCCCTTATATTCTTATGTTATTCAATGATATGCCTATTTAGTGTCAAGTGCAAACTCCTACTGTATGCAGATGCAGTGCTCTGTTAGTGTCAGGAAGAGACCCACAAGATATTGCTAATGTTTTTAACACTGGAACTGGAGTCCTGCAGCAAATGGTTAGTAGACAACAAACTATCATTACACCTAGGGAAAACTGAAGCCTTCTCTTTGGAACGAAACATAACATGAGAAGGGTAAAAAAATTTTTAAAGTTCAGTGTAATGGGGAGTCCATCACTTTGGTTTCATCAGTAAAATATCTGGGAATCCCCTTTGACCCATGCATGTCAGGAGAATTGAAAAGGGAACATTGTAGTAAGAAAGCGGAATGCCAGACTGAATTTTCCCGTATAGACAAGCACAGTGTCTACCTACTGAGGCTCGCCGGACCCTATGTCTAGCCCTTATACAATGCCATATGGATTACGTTTGCTCTTCATGGACTCTGCCTTGACAAAAAAACTGAAGATAGACTGCAAAATCCCAGAACAAATCGTAAACTCATCCTGGGGCTGGGACCAAGAGAACATGTAGGCCAGGATGAATTACAGCAGTTGGATATGCGAATGTTGAAGACAGAGTAAAACAACTGAAGCTAAATCATGTTATAAAATTGCTCACGAACAGTGTCCAGAATATCTTGCTGTCAGTTTTGTCAAGGTTGGGAACCAAAGCAATCATAGTACTAGGGGGAGAGAGCACAACTTTGTAGTACCCACAGTCAGTGGTCAGGCATCAAACACCTTTTATTGTACAGCAATAAAGGAATGGAACAACTGCCCGCACATGTCAAAGCCAGTCATAGCATGACCAGTTCAGAAGACTGCCAAAAAGTGTCTGATGAATGAAGCTACAGAAAGGGAGGGAATGATTTTCTATTTTTTAGCTAAAAAAACGTGTAAATTTTACCTTATTCCTAGTAATGACCCTCGTATTGTAGATAGTCTTAATGACCCTCGTGTAGTAGATAGTCTTTTTAGTATGATAATAAGATGTTATCTTCATTGTAGAATAATAAGAAAATATTATAACCTTTATATTATAATAATAAAGTAAAAGGACCCCAATGGAAATAAGTCACTCTGTCTGACTTTTTTGGGTTATCCTAGGTTCTCTACACATATGCTGCTATGTATGATAATTCTATGTAACTGTATTTGTGTATACCTGAATAAATTTACTTACTTACTTACTTAGCAATTGTGTAGGTAGTGTCGGAAGAATTACGTTTTCTCTAGTCAAACTGGGGGATAACTGTAGAAAAATATTCTTTTCGTATGCCTTTACTCTCTATATAGCAATTCACGACCCTTGTGGGTTTAGTGCTTTTTATTAATAATAATAATAATATTATTATTATTATTATTAATAATAATAATAATAATAATAATAATAATAATAATAATAATAATATCTTCATTCACTCTAAAAATGGTGTGTTGCTGTTTGTTTATTCTGAACTAACTTGTACAACTTGTACACAATGTAAGAGTATTTGTATTGTGAGGTAATTATTATTATAATAAAAAAATATTGAGGTAAATTTTTCACAAACTCTTACAAATGTACGTGAATGAACTAAAAGTAGACACTATTTAAAACGCATTTATTTTGCCTGACCAAGTGATCGCCCACTACCTGTTCAGTTTGTGTTCTTACATTGTCTCAACTCTGTATCTCGTTCTCTCTCTCGTTTACTCTTTTGTTAACTAGTTGGCTGTCATTGATGATGGCATCTAAGGTTAGCTGTGATAAAAAGAGAAGTCGTAAACCTCTTGCTTTAAGTGCCAAGTTAGAGGATGATGGTGCCATTCTGATTTTTTTTCAATAAAAAACACCTGCCACTCACCTCTCACACATTAATAAATTTAAAATTTAAGGTAAGTAATAAGTGTACTCTGTGTGTATCTTACCTTTTATTGTGTTTTTAATGCCTATTTCTATTGCTAACTTAATATAAGTTATTGTAAACTTTGGTTTTGGCTTTATTGCATATTTTATGTGTGCTCTGATAATAATATTGTAGAGTTGTGTGGTAGCCGGGTGGAGGGACAACATTACATTTTCTCTGCTCAGCCATCAGAGAAAACGTTTTTGAATCTGCATTTGGGCCCCGCCACTCCCTCACTCCGTTTTTGTTTTACAATTTTCGGCATGAATTATTCATTACTTCACCTTCGTTTATGATGGCATCTAAAGGTAGTTGTTAGAAATGATTAAATTCAGTGAACAAGGAAGTCGATGTTAATAATATGGCTCTGGGCCACAGTGTAGGTAGCCAGTAGGTGTAGCCCAGGCAGGCTACACCTACCGGCTACCTACACCGACTTCCTACAAATAAATACTACTCACCTCTCTTCCTATATTAAGACTACACATATTTTAAGGTAAATAATGAGTGTACTGTATGTGTACTTTACCTCTCTGGGATGTTTTAAATATCGTATATTAAGTATGAGACGGGGAGCCAGGGCTACCTACACCTGGGCTACCTGCACTTGACTTCCTACAAATAAGTACTACTCACCACTCTCCCTACATTAAGATTACAAATACTTTAAGATAAGTAATGAATTTACTGTGATTGTATTTTACTTTGTGTGTTTTTAATGCCTAGTTCTATTACTAACTTAATATAATTTAGTGTAAACTTGTTGTCTGGCATTTTTATGCATTTATAAATGGAAAAAATGGCGTTCTGCCTTCCGGCGACAGCCTGGAGCCTAACCCGCCATATAAGTGGGGCCCTACTGTACTGGTAATGGAAATTTACTTTATATGGTAATAAAGTAGAAACTGTAAATCCAGGGAAAATTGGAGAACAAATGAGGACTAGTTATGAATATGTGCAGGCAATAACAAAATGAGTCGCTGCCTACTAGCCTCTCTGGTAAACAACAATACCCAAACAGTTCTGTATTATTATTATAATCAAAACTAAGCACTAAACCCAAGACAGTTCTGTAAGCAATAGACTTTCTCCATTGGCTCCAGACAGTAATGGACAGTTCTGTAAATAACAAAATTTGGCAAGTCCAAAAAGTAATCACATTACCAGCAGATAATTACAATAATGGACAGTCCAGGAGCAACAGACTTCATAATTTTCTTTTACTTTTGTCTGGACAACAGATTTCATGTTAAATCTGAAACCCATTAAATTGAAGTTTTACTGTAAATTACTGTGCCTTTATCCATACTCTGTCCATTCAGGCTCACCATTCCTTTTATTTATTCTGATCATCCTACTCTTTTCTGTATACACAACTGTCTAAATTTTTCCAGTATATGCAGCTTTTCTTCTGTATCTTACATTGTAAGCACCTTGAAGTGGTTATTGGATTTTTTTTTTTTATCTCCAAGGTTTTTATTTATAACTTGAGAATGCCTTACCTGGTCAGCTTTAAATTTTCAACATTGGTGAGTCTTAACTAGTGGAAAGATTCATGAAATAGCTAAGAATTTGGTTGAATTGAGCAGTGGAATTGTCTTAAAATAGGACTCAAAATGGACAAAATTGCCAATGCATAAATTTTGCTCCTGTATAATTCTGGCAGTTTTCCATCAAATTTTGTATTTTTGATGTCATTACCTTCAGGAAAGATTTTATACCATTTCAGGATTTTTTTTTATGTACATGCTCAAGTTTTGTGTTGTACTGTTGCACATTGTCACCCCAGCCAGCCCAAAAGGGAGCTATGGGACTATGATTGCTTCATAGAACATTACAAAGAGCTACCCTATTGGCCAGAGAACATTACAGTTCCCATGTGAGTAACAGCCTATGTAAATTTCCACATTTGGCCTGAAAGCAAGTCCCTTTTGGGCTACAAGAATGCTATGGGGTTAAATTAATCTTTCTTTGCTAATACAGCCTCTCCTCGCTTAGCAACATACTCATTTACCAACGACTTGAACTTAGGACGGGCTCTCTGACCAGTATTTATACCTAAATAATGTATATTAGAACTGATTTCCTTTATTCTGTTTATATTTCAATATACGTACAGTACACTACTGTATAAACATTTAAAAATATACCAGAAATTTTATAAATGGTGCAGAGGTGACATTAAAACAATATCAAAGATGGTTGACACAAACCCACTACCATTATAGTGTGCTCCTCACTTAGCGATGAATTTGTTTACCGAAGTGGACTTAGGAACAGAACTCCATCGTTAAGTGAGAAGAGGCTGTATAATCAGTAGATTCCTTTCATTAATTTTTTAATTTAAATTTTTTTCATTATTTTTCAGGTTTGTTTGGAATGTGTGGTATGGTTGGTGTTCATGACTTGATGCAGCAACAAGTAGCTTTAACAAGACAATTTCTCGACAGTCAGCAGAAACTGCACCAGGCCTATTCTGCCACTCTGAGTTCCTCACACCGCTACACTTCTCTCAGAAGCACAGAAAAGGTATAACTTAAACAGTTTGAGGATTTCTATACTAGTACAAGTATTGTATGCTCATTGTCATATGGCATAGTATTACCTAAAGTCAGTATCTGATCAGCTGGGCTATGGTTTGTTTGTTGGACTATGTGTGGCCAGAAGTAACAGCCTGGTTGATCAGGCCCTGATCCACTGGGAGGCCTGGCCAAGGACTGGGCCATGAAGGCATTGACCCCTGGAACACCCTCCAGGTAGACTCCAGGCAGATAGTATTTAAAATGTTTGCTAAATCTAGGTGGGTTATGTACTCACAGCTGTAACAATAGTATTATTGTGTTTCCTCTTCAGATTTAGACAAAATTGTAAATGGTGTCAGTAAAGATATTTGGCAGTTATGACTGGATGTTGCAATGAAGCTTTTTTATTGCAAAGCTTTGTTTATGAATTTTGAGAAGGCTGTACATTGTCCAATCTAGAACTAGTTGCAAATAACTTGTTATACAGTAGACCTTCACATTACACAGATTTATTTGGCATGTTTTGGTTATTACACGATTGAAAAATTGCAGCATAATTTTATACAACACTTCGCAAAATTAATTTAACACAGTTCGGTTTGCGGGAGGGGAAAAAATTTGGAGCATCGCCCGTGGGATATTTCCCTAGCTCAGGCCGCCACCTGGCTGTGGGTGAGATCACTGTCTCCACGGGTCTGCACTGGGCTTCAAGGCAGTAAAGGATCGCTTCACCTTGCTCTTTTGCGGAAATGCGTCAGGTGTAAGCCCATGGTTATTTATCACTCTAAGAATCCTCGTGCTTTGAAAGTTGTAGATAAAAATACCTCACCAGTAATTTGGAGGTCAAACCAATCAGCATGGATGACAGAGGAAATATTTATTGACTGGTTTAACCCTTTGACTGTTTACACTGTATAAATACGTCTTACGCACCACTGTTTCTGACGTATTTATACGCATAAATTCTAGCGGCTTCAAATCAAGCAGGAGAAAGCTGGTAGGCCCACATGTGAGAGAATGGGTCTCCATGGTCAGTGTGCACTATATAAAAAAATCGGGGAGCCAGTGGTGCATTGTGGGAATGCCATTTCAGTCATCCTTTTTCAGCATGCTTAGCGGAAAGAAATATGTGACTCCCCAGCAAATCTGGGACTCTTCTCTTCCCAAGCGATGCTCTAACACAGATAGAAGTGTCAGTGAAGATCAATTTCATGATTTTGAGGAGTTTGAGACCAAAAGCAATGGAGGAGAAGGAGGGAGAAGAGGAAGAAGAAGAAGATGTAATAATATTGTTCCCTTGAAGCAAGAAAAAAAAAGTCCACCCCATGACAGTGACAAGATAAGGGGAGATAACATCTGATAAGAGCTGACGTTTGATGAGCGTAAACGAGGGTGGGGGAGGGTGCAGCTGATAAGAAAAGATTAGAACACCATCACCCTCACTTTGTTTTTGCTGGTACACAAACATTTCTGTCTGTCTATTTGTCTGTCTGCCAAGCTCCCTGTCTATCTGTCTAGCTCTCTGTCTCAGAGAGAGCCACAAGACTGTGTCATCATTACGTTTACTCACATCTTCAAGCAGAGTGTAGCACTTTGTCTGGATTTTTTGGGTTATCCTAGGCAATTTATACTATGTATACTTGTATTTATGTGTACCTGTGAGACAGAGATAGACAGATTGAAAGAGATAGAATGAGGAAGAAAGATAATTAGATAGAATGGAGGGGAAGCAGCATCCGACCCCATTGTTTTGACAGGCGGTAGGGGGAGTGAGTAATGAGACAATACAGTGGACCCCCGGAATTTGATGGCATTGGTATTCGATAATACCATTTTAACGCAAAAATTCCGCCTCAGTATCTGATCGAAAACCTGGTATTCGATGGGATTCGTATGAGACGTGTCCACGTGTGGTCTGAACTGCCCCATGTGTGCCAGTGTTTACAAGCCAGCCAGTGTGCGCGCATCTAAGGATACATTTGGTACATTCCATATTATCACTCTTTTTGGTGCTTGTTTCTGCAAAATAAGTCACCATGGGCCCCAAGAAAGCTTCTAGTGCTAACCCTGTGGTAAAAAGGGTGAGAATTAGTATGGAAATTAAGAAAGATTTTGAAGGGTTTGGGGCTAACCCTGAGAAGCCTATGCCAGTTGTGGAATCCATTGTGCCTACTTCAAAAATTAAGGAAATGTGTGCACAGTGGGTTGAACTGCAAACCTTTATGGATGAAAATCACCCTAACATAGCTATTGCAAGCCATGCTGGTGACTATTACAATGACAATGTTGTGGCCCATTTTAGACAAATCGTAAAGGAACGGGAGGTAGAGAGCTCTATGGACAGATTTGTTGTGCGACAGAGGTCCAGTGACTCTCAAGCTGGTCCTAGTGGCATTAAAAGAAGAAGGGAATTAACCCCGGAAAAGGACTTGCTACCTCAAGTCCTAATGGAAGGGGATTTCCCTTCTAAACACTTACACCATCCACACTCTCCCCTCCTCCCATCCCATCAATTATCACCAGATCTTCATTAAAGGTAAGTGTCAATTATTCTATTGTTATTATTGTATTGTTATTGTAATTATTCTATTGCATTAAACTTAATATTTCATGTGGTAAAATATATTTTTTTCATACTTTTAGGTGTCTTGCACGGATTAATTTGATTTCCATTATTTCTTATGGGGAAAATTGATTCGCTTTTCGATATTTTCGGTATTCGATGAGCTCTCAGGAACTGATTAATATCGAATACTGGGGGTGCACTGTATGTCATTTTGACAGCTGCCAACTCCTGACTCAAAACAATTATAAGCCACACACTCGCACACAAGACAAGCTTTCTGAATGAAGATAATAACAGTTATATGAAAGTATCTAGTGACTATATATGTGTATATATATTATAGAAACCAGAAGGAAGGAAGAATGGAAGGCACGAATGAAGGAAGGAGATGAAAGGAAGGAAAAAAGTAAGGAAAGATGAAAGAATGTAGGAAGGAAGGTAGGTAGGAAGGAAAGGATTACAGGAAGGTAGGAAAGGAATGCAGGAAGGTAGGAAAGGAATGCAGGAAGGTAGAAAAGGAATGCAGGAAGATAGGAAGGAAGGTAGGAAACAAATGCAGGAAGGAAGGAATGATGATACATGACCATTTACCTAGGATAACTACATAACACAACTGCCTGCTAATACTTTGAAGAAAACTGCTCAGACGAAGTGTTTTGTCTTTGCACATAAAAAAAAAAAAGTCCAGAAAAATGCACACACACTGGTTTTATGTGTGAGGAGTGTAAAGCACCATTGTGTATGAAAACATGTTTCAAAGAGTTCCACAAGCTGCAGAACTTCTAGGAATATGTCCAGTGACTGTATATTGGTATATACTGTAAACCAAAGTTTACCTGGTGAGCGGCAGTCACCGCTGTTGCCATACACGGCTCATTTTTGCAAACTTCATACCTCTATATCTCCGTAAGTACTGATGGCAAAAATTTTTGTTTTGGACTAAAACACTCAGAAAAATAATCTTAAAATTTTCATAAGAAAAAAATTATTTTTTTGTTTTTTTTTTTGATATTTTGCGACATAGAATGACAGTTTCAGAAAGGGGCCTGCGGCAGTCAAAGGGTTAAGCAACACATTATTCCTGAAGTCAAGTTTTACCTGCACAGCAAGAACCTTGCATTTAAGACTCTCTTAAGAATAAGAATAAGATTTTGTTCGGATTTTTAACCCCGGAGGGTTAGCCACCCAGGATAACCCAAGAAAGTCAGTGCGTCATCGAGGACTGTCTAACTTATTTCCATTGGGGTCCTTAATCTTGTCCCCCAGGATGCGACCCACACAAGTCGACTAACACCCAGGTACCTATTTGCTGCTAGGTGAACAGGACAACATGTGTAAAGAAACGTGTCGAAATGTTTCCACCCGCCGGGAATCGAACCCGGGCCCTCCGTGCGTGAAGCGGGAGCTTTAGCCACCAGGCCACCGGGCCTTGACAGTTCCCGTACTCGTCCAGAAGCCATGCTGGATGTGACCCCCACGTGTAAAAGTTGTATTTTTACCTCCTAATACATCTTTAATACAACCACTGGATTGGGGCATTATTAAGTCATTCAAGTGTAACTACACAAGTAATGAAAAAACTAGTTGCCTCAATGGATTCTGACTCCAACCTGGCAGTACCAAGCTTCTAGAATAATGTATAATATATTGCAGGGTAAAAGAAGCCAGAGATCCACTAGAGAATTTATGCACACTCCAATACAACCATTGACTTTAGTACCAGAACCTCAAATCATCCACTTCTGCCAACAACCAACAACCATCCACCTCAGGCCATGCATCTCCACTCTCTTCACAATCACTGACATACACCAGCAACCACAATTTAAGGTAAATAATAATATTTTTATTGCATTTGTAGTCTCAAGCAACAAAAACAACATTATAATTTTTATTTTTGTAAGATCTGGATGTCTAAAAAAAAGTTGTTTGGCTTTTGGGGGGATCCCAGGAACGTAACCCTGTTTTTACCATAAGTCCTTCAGTTTATATAACATGGACTTATCTAACACGGCATTTTCAGGAAAGTAATTGCCGTGTAATATGAAGGTCTACTGTACTACATAAAACAATGTATAAAATTATACAGCACAGGGAAACTGTAAAAATGAATATTAAATCAAAATTTAACTGAAATACTGTACAGTAAATGAAAATTTAACTGCTGCATACCTGTCAGAAGAGAGCTAATGGCATACTGGAAGCAGGAGGTGGAGGAGAGGAGGGGGTATGTAACTGCTTGGAAGGAGAGTCACCATCTGTTAATATGGCAGGCAACTGTCCTGGTGTTGTTTCTCTTTTTTGTCTCTCTTCACCAATAACACCTTGTTTTGGCTCACTGGTTCTTTGTCTTATGAAAAACCTGTCTAGTGAAGTCTGTTTCACACTCCATTTTAACACTTTCCCATTCATATTGTCCGTCAACAACCAAGAGCATGTATGAAAACCAGGACATTTTTTCTCAAATTCCTCATTTGAAAACCAATTTGTTTGATGAGTAATGCAGTTGACAACTGAGGTTCCACTGTACGGTGGAACCTCTACTTAAGAGTGGACCCCAGGATTAAGTCGTCATCAGAATAAGTAATATTCGGAATAAGTAATGTTTTTTCGTCAAAATATTGGCTCGGTGAATGTCACTGATCTTGGTATAAGTCATTCGTCCAGAATGTGTCCGTGTGGCCTGAGTGGCCCCGACTCTTCATGTACATCTATTGTTTACCAGCCAGTGAAGAAGATCTCACGCGTTCATACCTGGAGTTTACCTGGAGAGAGTTCCGGGGGTCAACGCCCCCGCGGCCCGGTCTGTGACCAGGCCTCCTTAGGTCAGTGTCCCAGGATGCGACCCACACCAGTCGACTAACACCCAGGTACCCATTTTACTGATGGGGAACATAGACAACAGGTTGAAAGAAACACGTTCAATGTTTCTACTCTGGCTGGGAATCGAACCCAGGCCCTCACCGTGTGAAGCGAGAGCGTTAACCCTACGATACATTTTGTATTATTCCATTCTTTTTAGTGCTTGTAACTGCTAAATAAGCCACCATGGACCCAAAGAAAGCTTCTAATGCCAGCCAGCTCTTTGGTAAAGGGCTGAAAGAGAGGGGAGAATGTACCTTTTTCAGTGATTCTCCAATATGTAAGATACTAAAGCATCAGGAATTGATAAAGGCTATAGTGCCAGCCAACGATAAAGTGTAGCATTAACAGTGTAGCAAGTAAGCTAAGTGATTAATCAATAGAAAAAGGACAGCACAAAACTGACTCCTCCATTGTTGTTGGAGGTATATAGGGCTACTGACTAACACTGCTGCCTTCACCACCACTATGTAAGGCTTATCTTTCAGTGGCCCTTATACACTCAACAATAAACAACACACCACCACTCGTGACATTCTTAATGCCATATTTTATTCATTCTTGAGTATATATCATGTTTCTATGTTATTAATATTCTTTATTATGTCATATTAGATGAATTGTGCTACATAAATAAGCCAAAGAGCTGATATTAGTGTCATATTGAAGGACTATCTTGTCTTGTCTCCCAACACAATTCCTAACATATGCCAGAAACAGACCTCTCTGGAACATTTGTTTGAGCAACAGGGGTCCAGTGACTCTCAAGCTGGTCCTAGTGGCATTAAAAAACAAAGAAGGGAAGTAACCCAGGATAGGGACTTGGTACCTGAAGTCTTTATGGAAGGGGATTCCCCTTCCAAACAATTGTAAACTCCTGCATCCTCTTCCTCCTCCCATCTTCCATACATCACTATGTCTTTAATAAAGGTAAGTGTGGTGTTATTGTTTTATTCTTCATGTATCATTGTTTTCTGTGTAGGTAAATGTATATTTCACGTAGAAAACATTTTTTTAATACTTTTGGGTGCCTACAACGGATTAATTGAATTTCCATTATTTTTTATGGGGAAAATTAATTCGGAAATCGTCAGATTCGGGACAAGTCACTCTCTCTGGAGCGGATTAATTATGTAATTTGGGGGTCCACTGTACGAGTAGTCACTTGGTTGATTTTTTGCTTCCAGATGCGAGTGGGCCTCAAGGGAGGTTCCTTGACGCTGGTGAGGGGTTCTTGCTCTTGATCTAGGGAATTGGATCTCATTTGTTTGTTGGACTATCTTACTGAAACTTGGGCAATGTATGATAGAAAGATGCTTTTTAACGTACACCAAAATTGAAAGAAATCAGGCTATAAATAACGGAGTTCACTTCTCAGCCATTTTTTTTTTAACCCTGATGCCCTCTTAAAAAGTTCCACCTTCAGTACAAACTATGACATCTTAACTGAAAGTAGTTTATTACATCATAACTGAAACTGGTTTATTACATAACTGGGCAATGTGTGGTGCATTATTATAATCAAGGGGGAAGCACTAAACCCGTAGGATTATACAGTGCCTGTAGGGGGGATGGAAGATATTCAGGGAACTGGAGCACAGATCCAGTTCCTTAGATCAAGAGCCCCTTACCAGCATCAAGGAACCTAATGTGTGGTGTAAATATTATGCAGAGAATTCGTAGTTTGGAAATTAGGAGGTGTGGAGTTACTAGAAGTATTAGTCAGAGGGCTGAAGAGAGGGTGTTGAGATGGTTTGGTCATTTAGAGAGAATGGAACAAAGTAGAATGGCTTGGAGAGCATATTCCCTTTAAAATCAGGCATAATCGCAAATAACACCACAGACCACTACCCTACCTTTCTCATAACCAATCTAGGTAAATTACCTAAAGTTACCTTCAGACTTCATAATGAGACAGCTATTGATAACTTCACAACAGCAGTGACAAACATCCGACTGGCAAACTGAGCTAGAAATCTATACAGATACTGACAAATGTATTAATAATTTTCAAAAAAAAGACCCAACACCTCTATAATGTGCATTGCCCTAAAAAACTAAACAGATCACAGCTAAGAGACTGAACAGCCCCTGGCTAACATCCAGCATCCTCAAATCCATAAATATAAAGCACCTATATGAAAAACAATACAGAAAGGGCCAAATAACCAGAGACCAAACAAAACGTTACTTGTCAGTCCTAACCAGCCTGATAAGAAGGGCAAAAAAATTGTATTACGAGAACAGATTACTTAACTTAAAAGGTGATATGAAAGAGACCTGGAAAACCCTATCTGAAATTCTAGGAACTAAAAATTATCAGGAAACAGAACAATCAGATGAACCCCTTCTCCCACCGACTGAAACAGCAAACAGATTCAATGTTTTCTTCTCCATCATAGGAAAAAACCTGGTGAGCAAAATCCCAAGCTCAAACACCCCACCTAACGACTACCTCACTGGCACCTACCCGAACACACTATTCCTACCTCCGACCAACCAACAGAAGTTTCACTCATTATCAACACACTAAAGAACAAGGCAAGAGATTTAAATAACTTACCACCCTTTATATACAAAAAAGCTTCTCAAATGCTGTTACCAACTATTGCAACACTCTTTAACAAATCCATCGAATCCTCTACCTTCCCCTCAATTCTCAAAAGAGTGAGGGTCACCCCCATACATAAAGGAGGAGATCAAACAGACTTGAATAACTATAGGCCAATATCTAACTTACCCCTTCTCTCTAAAATCTTTGAAAAATTAATTCATATCCAGATCTATTCCTACCTCATCTCTCACAACATACTCAACCCCTGTCAGTTTGGGTTCAGGCCTAATAAAAACACGAATGATGCTACTATACACACGCTAGAACTAATATACACTGCACCTGAGAAAAAAGAAGTTCCATTGGGAATCTTCATTGATCTATGTGAAGCTTTTGATACAGTTGACCATGATTTGTTGCACATAAGATTATCACATTATGGTATAAGAGGGCCCTCCCTCAACTACCTAAAGTCATACCTTAGCAACAGAAGCCAATATGTGTACACAAATGGAGCTAACTCGTCCACACGACCAATTACAGGCGGTGTCCCACAGGAAAGTGTCCTCGGCCCACTTCTCTTTCTCATTTACATAAACGACCTACCAAATGCATCTCAACTACTCAAACCCATACTATTTGCAGATGACACTACATACATCTTCTCTCACCCAAGCCCAGTCATACTAGCTAATACTGTAAATACTGAATTACAGAAAATATCTACCTGGATGATGATTAACAAGCTTACTCTCAGTATTGACAAAACCTGTTTCATTCAGTTTGGGAGCAGAGCTACAAATGTTCCCCTTAACATAATTATAAATGGAACACCTATCACAAAACTCACAGAGGGAAAATTCTTAGGAATCCACCTTAATAGCCTCAAATTTCAGACACATTTACAACAAATTTCCAAGAAAGTCTCCAAGACCGCAAGCATACTATCGAAGATATGGTACTATGTTCCACATTCAGCTCTCCTTGCACTGTATCACTCACTTATTTACCCCTATCTCACCTCTGGAATCTGTGCATGGGGCTCAACAACAATAAATCATCTCAAACCATTAATTACCCAGCAAAAGGCTGCAGTCAGAATAACAAATTCCCACTCCAGACAACACACTCCACCAATACTTAACCCTTTGACTGTTTCAGTTGTATATATACGTCTTATGATGAGCCACCGTTTTTGATGTATATATACTCATAAATTCTAGCGGCTTCAAATCAGGCAGGAGAAAGCTGGTAGGCCCACATGTGAGAGAATGGGTCTGTGTGATCAGTGTGCACCATATGTAAAAAATCCTACAGCACACAGTGCATAATGAGGAAAAAAAAAACTCCGACCGTTTTGTTTTAATTAAAATGCCAACTTTGTGGTCTATTTTCGTATAGTATTTATGGTTGTATTCTCATTTTCTTGATCTCATTTGATAGAATGGAAAACATATTATAGAAATAGAGGTGATTTTGATTGGTTTTACTATGAAAAGAAGCTTGAAATGGAACTTCAAAAGTAAACAAATGATGTCATTTTTCAATAAATGTCCAAGTAGCCATTCTAATATGCAGTCATGAATGGGTTGACATTATTTATACAATTATTACAATATTGCAGTAGTCTGCATAACAGTAAATCACTCTTTGATGTTCCCTGTGTCCATCTCAGACTATGTAAAAACTCAGTGCACATAAAAGGCCCAAAAATTTGAAATTCATTACCAGTAATTACCAAAGAAACACTGTATATCAATTCAAGACTTCTAAAAAACCACCTACACACCCAAAACTAAATACACAGTACATAATTTAACTTTACCTACATAGTTAACAAATCACTTTCTACTGCCCCAAAATATCATTACTCACTGTGTTACTCCCCTAGCCTTAGGACCCCATAAATAAATGCTCAGAGATCAATAAATTCTCATATCTAATCTAATGTAAATATTAAATAACTTATATTTCATAAATGTATAACCCAGTTGTATAATTAGAGAAACCTTATCAATCTGTGTTTTTATAGCATTACCTAATAGAATAATCCATTCTCTTGAATGCACTGTAACTCATCTAATGACCATATGAACTGTTACTGCACTACAGATCATTGATTTGATTTGATTAGATCTGATTAATAAATTGTATGACTACATATACAGTAGACCGTCATTTAGCACAGTAGTTACGTTCCTGAAAAATGCCATGTTAGGTAAAATCGTGTTAGATGAACTAAAGAACTTATGGGAAAACTAGGGTTACGTTCCTGGGAGCTCCAAAAAGCCAAGCAACTTTTTTTTAAGCCTCCACAATATGTAGTTGTAGTTCAATGTTGTGATGTATTATGTTGTTTTTACTGCTTAAAACTACAAATGTAAAAGAAATAATAGTATTTCTTACCTTAAATTGTGGGTGCTGGTGTTTGTGGATGATTGTAAAGAGAGTGGAGTTATGCTGTGGCCTTACTGGGCTGAGGTGGATGGTAGAGGTTCTGGTACTGAAGTCGATGGTTGTACTGGAGTATCTAACAGTAAGTCACTCAGTAACTGTTCCAGTAAATTTATTATAGCTTCGATAATCTTAAGTTAATTTTAAGCCTGCCCATAATGCTCTGCATACAAGGGGCTTTTGATATGTACACCCAACTACTATAATACCTTGTACAACTATGTATCATGTTCTAATAAACTGTTATTATTATTATATAAATCTGTAAAGGAAGGAAGGCAGGGTAGGGGTTGTCCTCGAAAAGGTTGGAGGGAGCGGGTAAAGAAGGTTTTGTGGGCAAGGAGCTTGGACTTCCAGGAAGTGTGCATGAGTGTGTTAATAGGAGTGAGTGGAGATGGATGGTTTTTGGGACCTGATGAGCTGTTGGAGTGTGAGTAGGGTAATATTTTGTGAAGGAATTCAGGGAAACTGGTTAGCCAGACTTGAGTCCTGGAAATGGGAAGTACAATGCATACAATTTAAAGGAGGGGTTTGGGATATTGGCAGTTTGGAGGGATGTCTAAGCTGTCGTATCTGAGTGCCTCTGCAAAGGCAGTGATTATGTATGAGTGATTGTGAAAGTGTTGAATGATGATGAAAGTTTTTTCTTTCTTTTTGGGTCACAATGCCTCGGTGGGAAACGGCTGACGTGTTAAAAAAAAAAAACTTGTTTATTACATCTTAGATTTTTTCTTTCATTCAAGCTTAACCCTCTATACCTCTTCCTTCCCTCCTTTCCTGACATTAGTGGCTGTTTACTATATAATACTAAATAACCCACATGGGTTTAGCCCTTTTTTATTAATACAGGCAGTCCATATTTAACAAATATTTGTTTAACATAGTTTTGAATAACCCAAAAAAAAAAAAAAAATTACAAAAACTCTTAACAGCCATTTATCTGCTTGTACTATAATCTCTCATACTAGGTAAGATTAAATGAATCTTTTCACTTTTTCCTCTGTTTTTACTAATTTTATTTTATTTTGGCATTGTTAATTGTATAGTCATTCTTCCAAACAATCCAGTAAGAATAATTAATCTAGCCATTTCATTTACACTTTCTTTTTTTAACACACTGGCCATCTCCTACCGAGGCAGGGTGACCTGAAAAAGAAACATTTTCACCATCAATCACACTATTACTGTCTTGCCAGATGCATGCAGATATGACAATTTAGATGTCACATTAAGCAGCATATATCCCAAACCCCTCCTTTAGAGTGCAGGCATTGTATATCCCACCTCCAGGACTCGAGTCTGGCTAATCAGTTTCCCTGAATTCCTTCACAAAATATTACCCTGCTAACACTCCAACAGCTCATTAAGTCCCAAAAACCATTTGTATCCACTCCTAACATGGTCACACATACCTGCTGTATGAATTGCACATATAATTGTTAATGTGGTTAGTCAATCAATCATCACTTGCAGAAACTTGAATCCTAAACCAGCTAAGCCTTTATACATTTTTATTTACTGATAAAGTTGAACAAAGTTTAAGACTGCAAACAACAAAAGAGCTTCAGTGACAGGTTTAGCTTTTTTGTTTAATAACAATTAGAGATAAATACAAAGTTGGTCACATGATTACAAATTCTCACGTAATGAAATATGACTATTACTGTGAAGCCTCATTATTTTTATTTTTTTTTGTGAAAATAAAAACTAATATTAAAACCATAGGTGTTATGGAGAGCTGTATTAGTTAATGCATCAGCTAAATTACTTTAAAGAAAAGCATTAGTTTAAATTAAAAAAGTTTTCTCATTTTTGGGTTAATCATCTTACTACTGATTTTTTCAACAGTACATAAAGATGAAGAAGAAACCCCCACTAACATTCAGTGATGCTTACAAGTTAGTCAAAGAAGAAATGAAGGCCTCAGAAGAATGATACTGCTGAATCAAAATGTTAATTAGCTATGTTGTTCAGTATTTTTACTAAAGCATGTTGATACTACAATTCACAAGCTTATTTCCATATGAATAGCTAAAGTAAGTGTAAAGCACTTGTCAGTGCTCAGTAATAACCCCCATGGAGACACTCTCAGAAAATTAATTGGGCTATATATTTTGACCCAAGCAAGGGGTTGAAATATACAGACCAGTTAATTTTCTGAGTTTCTGTCTCCATGTGGGTTATTATTATTTCCATATGTATTGGCATACAGGTATTAAAATTCACACTAGGTAATTTTCTTGAAATACTATGCACTGCACATGGAAGGCGTGCTGAACATGCCACCGATGAATATTGCTCCACTGTACACACACTGATCTAGTATTCCAGAATTTCTATTAGTACATTCTAACCCCAGTCAGTTAAATGAGTCAGAAAGCTGGGAAACGAATGAAACTTTCTATTATTTAAATGGTATCCTCTGATATGTCATTGTAAGGATATATATGTTGGAAAAGAAAGAAAAGATGAAGACAAGTAGCTCAACAGGGTATGTTAATAGTGCAAGAGAGAGGGTTACATATGTGGAAGGAAAGTGTAGGCTTTGAAGAGTGCTTTGACCTGTGAGATAGCTCACTGCCCTTGACAAAAAGTATATACCGTACATTAGAATACTAAAGACAAAATCTTTGTAAAATAAAAACTTATTGCAAACACACACATACATGCTACCATAAAGTTAAAATAATTCACATAAGTCAAAATACTTGTTGAATTGTTGATGTAAGAAGACACCTAAAATTTCTCTAAGTCACTGTGGATAGTTAAAATGTGCTCTACAGTCAGCTGCCCACACATCACACAAGAGCCACCTGCAAAGAGTTGGCTGTGGACCAAGTGTGTACCTGATTGTCTGTCGAGTATCAGGGAGAGATACTTATTGAAAGAGGTACCATGGGACTTAAACATTGTATACAAAGATTTTAAAATAACCCTTTATACCCCAATAGGTGTAATCAGTTTGTGAACAGTGATGTAATACAGTAAGTACAAACCAATACCACTATCAATATTTAACTTTTAATAGGAAATAAAACAGTACATTGCAATACATCATGCAAGAATAAAATTTTGTATATCTTTCGTGTGTAAAATTACAAAAAATATGTGATCAGGCAGATGTGTGGTAAATACTTGTCAGTAATTTACATATTTAAACTGTAATTACAGTCCCCTCAAAGAAGGTTCCTTTATGTGGAGTCGATGTGTTCAGTCCATCAATCTTGTAGAATGTACAGCATAGGGCCGTAGACGTGGCTTATATACAGTGGACCCCCGCATAACGATTACCTCCGAATGCGACCAATTATGTTAGTGTATTTATGTAAGTGCGTTTGTACGTGTATGTTTGGGGGTCTGAAATGGACTAATCTACTTCACAATATTCCTTATGGGAATAAATTCGGTCAGTACTGGCACCTGAACATACTTATGGAGTGAAAAAATATCGTTAACCGGGGGTCCACTGTACTGTAGTGAGGTGAGGTGAAGCAGGCGGAGGCGGGGTCATAGTGGTACCATCCACTAGTCGAAGTAGGTCTTGGTCCAAAGGTTGAACAAGTGTTGAAGAATTCTTTGTAACAAGATCCCATGATGCTGCTGTGTCTGACAGTTGTGATGAATGGTTTGAAAAACCGACAAGTTGAAGATTGAGACACTTATGCAGCATATGCGAATCTTTATTCAGGAAACGTTTCGCCACACAGTGGCTTCATCAGTCCAATACAAAGGGGAAGGCTTAACCCTTTGAGGGTTTTGGTCGTACTAGTACGTTTTACGCGTAGGGGTTTTTGACGTACTAGTACTCATAAATTCTAGCGGCCTCAAATCTAGTGGGAGAAAGCTGGTAGGCCTTCATGTGAAAGAATGGGTCTATGTGGTCAGTGTGCACAGTCTAAAAAAAATCCTGCAGCACACAGTGCATAATGAGAAAAAAAAAACTTTGACCATTTTTTTTTAATAAATCAGCGACTTTGCAGTGTATTTTCGTATGGTATTTATTGTTGTATTCTAGTTTTCTTGGTCTCATTTTATAGAATGGAAGACATATTACAGAAATTGAGATGATTTTGACTGGTTTTACAATGAAAGGTGTCTTGAAATTGAGCTCAAAGTAGCAGAAATGTTCGATTTTTACCAAACTTCAAAAGTAAACAAATCGTGCCAAGCATGCAATACACGTCAACTGGTGAGTCTAATATTCTTTTACAAGTGCACCAATAATATTTATACCATTTTTTACACTAATGCAGTAGTCTGCATAACAGTAAATCTTATATTTTTTGTGAGAAAAAAAATTCAAAGTGGAAAGCAAAAGGATATAAGAGGGCCCTTGAGACGTGACTAATGACTAGAGGAAATGTCATTTTAGTGCCAGGAATGTCTTTCTTGTTTATTCTGGACCCTATTCAGAAATTGGCATCTTTTGAAATTTGTGTGAAATTGGCAAAATTGCTAAATTCTGAACCACTGTACTGGATAGTTGAATTTATAAATGGGTGGTTTCTTGCACCCATTCGATAGAAAAAATGGAGTTCTAGCGAAATATTCATGTTTTTTTGTCGACTAGTACAGTGAAATTGGCCGAAAATGGGGCTCAAAGTGGGCAAAATCGCCGATGCGTAAATATCGCCGAGACCGCTAACTTTGCGAGAGCATAATTCCGTAAGTTTTCTATCAAATTTCAAACTTTTGGTGTCTTTATGATCGGGAAAAGATTCTCTATCTTTTCATAAGAGAAAATAATTTTTTTTTTTTTTTAAATTTGGCCGACCCTGAGAACGAGTTTCGGAGAGGGCCTGTCGACCCTCAAAGGGTTAAGGAGAGGAGGAGAATGAGGTAATCAGTCCCTCAACCTGGAGTCGATGTGTTCAGTCCATCAATCTTGTAGAATGTACAGCATAGGGCCGTAGACGTGGCTTATATACTGTAGTGAGGTGAGGTGAAGCAGGCGGAGGCGGGGTCATAGTGGTACCATCCACTAGTCGAAGTAGGTCTTCGTCCAAAGGTTGAACAAGTGTTGAAGAATTCTTTGTAACAAGATCCCATGATGCTGCTGTGTCTGACAGTTGTGATGAATGGTTTGAAAAACCGACAAGTTGAAGATTGAGACACTTATGCAGCATATGCGAATCTTTATTCAGGAAACGTTTCGCCACACAGTGGCTTCATCAGTCCAATACAAAGAGGAAGGCTTAAGGAGAGGAGGAGAATGAGGTAATCAGTCCCTCAACCTGGAGTCGATGTGTTCAATCCATCAATCTTGTAGAATGTACAGCATAGGGCCGTAGACGTGGCTTATATACTGTAGTGAGGTGAGGTGAAGCAGGCGGAGGCGGGGTCATAGTGGTACCATCCACTAGTCGAAGTAGGTCTTCGTCCAAAGGTTGAACAAGTGTTGAAGAATTCTTTGTAACAAGATCCCATGATGCTGCTGTGTCTGACAGTTGTGATGAATGGTTTGAAAAACCGACAAGTTGAAGATTGAGACACTTTTGCAGCATATGCGAATCTTTATTCAGGAAACGTTTCGCCACACAGTGGCTTCATCAGTCCAATACAAAGAGGAAGGCTTAAGGAGAGGAGGAGAATGAGGTAATCAGTCCCTCAACCTGGAGTCGATGTGTTCAGTCCATCAATCTTGTAGAATGTACAGCATAGGGCCGTAGACGTGGCTTATATACTGTAGTGAGGTGAGGTGAAGCAGGCGGAGGCGGGGTCATAGTGGTACCATCCACTAGTCGAAGTAGGTCTTCGTCCAAAGGTTGAACAAGTGTTGAAGAATTCTTTGTAACAAGATCCCATGATGCTGCTGTGTCTGACAGTTGTGATGAATGGTTTGAAAAACCGACAAGTTGAAGATTGAGACACTTATGCAGCATATGCGAATCTTTATTCAGGAAACGTTTCGCCACACAGTGGCTTCATCAGTCCAATACAAAGAGGAGGAGAATGAGGTAATCAGTCCCTCAACCTGGAGTCGATGTGTTCAGTCCATCAATCTTGTAGAATGTACAGCATAGGGCAGTAGACGTGGCTTATATACTGTAGTGAGGTGAGGTGAAGCAGGCGGAGGCGGGGTCATAGTGGTACCATCTACTAGTCGAAGTAGGTCTTCGTCCAAAGGTTGAACAAGTGTTGAAGAATTCTTTGTAACAAGATCCCATGATGCTGCTGTGTCTGATAGTTGTGATGAATGGTTTGAAAAACCGACAAGTTGAAGATTGAGACACTTATGCAGCATATGCGAATCTTTATTCAGGAAACGTTTCACCACACAGTGGCTTCATCAGTCCAATACAAAGAGGAAGGCTTAAGGAGAGGAGGAGAATGAGGTAATCAGTCCCTCAACCTGGAGTCGATGCTGCATAAGTGTCTCAATCTTCAACTTGTCGGTTTTTCAAACCATTCATCACAACTGTCAGACACAGCAGCATCATGGGATCTTGTTACAAAGAATTCTTCAACACTTGTTCAACCTTTGGACGAAGACATACTTCGACTAGTGGATGGTACCACTATGACCCCGCCTCCACCTGCTTCACCTCACCTCACTACAGTATATAAGCCACGTCTACAGCCCTATGCTGTACATTCTACAAGATTGATGGACTGAACACATCGACTCCAGGTTGAGGGATTGATTACCTCATTCTCCTCCTCTCCTTAAGCCTTCCTCTTTGTATTGGACTGATGAAGCCACTGTGTGGTGAAACGTTTCCTGAATAAAGATTCGCATATGCTGCATAAGTGTCTCAATCTTCAACTTGTCGGGTTTTCAAACCATTCATCACAACTGTCAGACACAGCAGCATCATGGGATCTTGTTACAAAGAATTCTTCAACACTTGTTCAACCTTTGGACGAAGACCTACTTCGACTAGTGGATGGTACCACTATGACCCCGCCTCCGCCTGCTTCACCTCACCTCACCTCACTACAGTATATAAGCCACGTCTACGGCCCTATGCTGTACATTCTACAAGATTGATGGACTGAACACATCGACTCCAGGTTGAGGGACTGATTACCTCATTCTCCTCCTCTCCTTAAGCTTTCCTCTTTGTATTGGACTGATGAAGCCACTGTGTGGCGAAACGTTTCCTGAATAAAGATTCGCATATGCTGCATAAGTGTCTCAATCTTCAACTTGTCGGTTTTTCAAACCATTCATCACAACTGTCAGACACAGCAGCATCATGGGATCTTGTTACAAAGAATTCTTCAACACTTGTTCAACCTTTGGACGAAGACCTACTTCAACTAGTGGATGGTACCACTATGACCCCACCTCCGCCTGCTTCACCTCACCTCACTACAGTATATAAGCCACGTCTACGGCCCTATGCTGTACATTCTACAAGATTGATGGACTGAACACATCGACTCCAGGTTGAGGGACTGATTACCTCATTCTCCTCCTCTCCTTAAGCCTTCCTCTTTGTATTGGACTGATGAAGCCACTGTGTGGCGAAACGTTTCCTGAATAAAGATTCGCATATGCTGCATAAGTGTCTCAATCTTCAACTTGTCGGTTTTTCAAACCATTCATCACAACTGTCAGACACAGCAGCATCATGGGATCTTGTTACAAAGAATTCTTCAACACTTGTTCAACCTTTGGACGAAGACCTACTTCGACTAGTGGATGGTATCACTATGACCCCGCCTCTGCCTGCTTCACCTCACCTCACTACAGTATATAAGCCACGTCTACGGCCCTATGCTGTACATTCTACAAGATTGATGGACTGAACACATCGACTCCAGGTTGAGGGACTGATTACCTCATTCTCCTCCTCTCCTTAAGCCTTCCTCTTTGTATTGGACTGATGAAGCCACTGTGTGGCGAAATGTTTCCTGAATAAAGATTCGCATATGCTGCATAAGTGTCTCAATCTTCAACTTGTCGGTTTTTCAAACCATTCATCACAAGGTTCCTTTATGTTGGTGAGGGGCTCTTGATCTAAAGATTTCGACAAATGCTTCAATTCCTTTGAATCAAGCCTGAATGCCTTCCATTCCCTAAAGCACTGTATGACCCCTGTGGGTTTAGTACATGTACTTCCCTTTCAGGGTCCGTCCCGTAAATCTACGGCTGTGAGTGGTAAATTTGGGCCTAGATATGAGAGAATACATCTATGTGGTATGTGTGCACCACATAAAACAAATCGTGTAGCACACAGTGTACAATGAGAGAGAAAAAACTGAGACAGTGATTTTCAATTAAAACAACGACTTTACAGTGTTTTTTCGTATGTTTTTTATAGTTGTATTTGCGATTTCTTGGTCTCATTTGATAGAATGGAAGAAATATTACAGAAATAGAGATGATTTTGATTGGTTTTAGCACTGGAAATGGCAAGAAACTGAGCTCAAAGTAGCAGAAATGTTAAATTTTTGTTGAAGTTCAAGAGTAAACAAACAACCTCACACGTCTAATACACGCCAGCTGGTGGGTCTAATATACATTCACAAATGTGGTGATGATATTTATACAATTATTACAATATTGCATAACAGTAAATCATCTATTTTTTGGTTTGAATAAAAATTCATTATGCGAGTAAAAAATCAAAATGGAATTCATTTGTAAAACCTGAAAACATAACTAATGAACAGAGGAAATGTTAGTTTAGTGCTAGGAATGTCTGCATTGTTTATTCTGGGCCCTATTTTGAAATTGGAATATTTTGAACTTTGTATTAAATTGGCCAAATTACCAATTTCCGATCACTTTATTTTGTAGTTGAAACAGTTGACTGGGCGATTTATTGTGCTCAATCAATAGAAGTAATACTAGTGAAATAGCTAAGAATTTGGTGGACTGGAATAATGTAATTGGCCTAAAATGGAAGTCAAAGTCGGCAAAATCGCCAATTCGTAAATATTGCTGACACATCAAAATTCACGAGAGCATAATTTCGTCAATTTTCCATCAAATTTCGTACTTTTTGTTTTATTACCTTCAGAAAAAGATTCTCTACCATTTTCATAAGAAAAAATAACAAAAATTTTTTTTTAAATTCTTGGACCCTGGTGCACACTTTGAAATTTGGCCTGTGGAGCCTGAAAGGGTTATATGCTAGCATATAAGTCGACTTTTTTAACTGATTATAAAAGTTACTGATATGTGGTAGAGGTGAAATTAAGGCTGTGGCACATTACCGAAGTATGGAAGTGATACTACTAGCCTATTGATGCTATCATGCTAGTACAGTGGAACCTCTACTTGAGAGTTTAATCCGTTCCACGGCCTTGCTCGCAACTGGATTTGCTCATTTGCCAATTCGTAAATATTGCTGACACATCAAAATTCACGAGAGCATAATTTCGTCAATTTTCCATCAAATTTCGTACTTTTTGTTTTATTACCTTCAGAAAAAGATTCTCTACCATTTTCATAAGAAAAAATAACAAAAATTTTTTTTTAAATTCTTGGACCCTGGTGCACACTTTGAAATTTGGCCTGTGGAGCCTGAAAGGGTTATATGCTAGCATATAAGTCGACTTTTTTAACTGATTATAAAAGTTACTGATATGTGGTAGAGGTGAAATTAAGGCTGTGGCACATTACCGAAGTATGGAAGTGATACTACTAGCCTATTGATGCTATCATGCTAGTACAGTGGAACCTCTACTTGAGAGTTTAATCCGTTCCACGGCCTTGCTCGCAACTGGATTTGCTCATTTGCAGAGTCAATTTTCCTCATTTAAATTAATTGAAATGCAGTTAATCTGTTCCAGTGGAATTCTGTACTTCATTAATTTCGCTATCAATTCTATGGCTTATTTATCTATCTCACTTCATATAATATGACATAATAAACAATATGAATAACATAGAAACCTGATATATACTCTAAAATGAATAAAATATGTAATTCATATAGTGGTATGGGCGGTGTCGGTGGTGGACGAGAGTTTGTCTGGAGACTGGACAAAATACTTCTTGAATAATTTCGCTAATATCGTCTATACGACTTATTTATCTATCACAGTTCATCTAATATGGCATAATAAACAATATAAATAACAGAAACCTGATATACAGTGGACCCCTGCATACCGATTTTAATCCGTGCAAGAGGGCTCATTGGTATGCGAAATAATCGGTATGCGAATGAATTTTCCCCATAAGAAATAATGGAAATCAAATTAATCCGTGCAAGACACCCAAAAGTATGAAAAAGAAATTTTTACCACGTGAAATATACATTTTCCTACACACAAAGAGAAGGATACATGCACAATAGTAGAGTAGTACATGCACAGTATATATTGTGCATGTACTAGTCTACTAAATGAAGAATAAATGACACTTACCTTTATTGAAGATGCAGCAATGACTGATGAGACACTGTGTCCTGGGAGTGCCTTTTCCTCCTGAGTACTGTAGGTCCTGTTTGGTATTTTCTTCCAGAACATGCCTTATCACACTGTGTATGTCACTACGATTCTTAAATCTCTCAAACCAACCTTTGCTGGCTTTAAATTCACCAATATGAGCACTAGTTCCAGGCATTTTTCCCTGTTCACCTGGGTGTTAGTCGACTGGTGTGGGTTGCATCCTGGGAGACAAGATTAAGGACCCCAATGGAAATAAGTTAGACAGTCTTCGATGACACTGACTTTTTTGGGTTATCCTGGGTGGCAAATCCTCTGGGGTTAATTGTTTCTTGGTATATTCTCAATAAGCCACACCAACAACAGTGCTACAGCAGCAGCAGACGATGCTACAGCAGCAGCAGCAGCAGCAGACGATGCTACAGCAGCAGCAGCAGCAGACGATGCTACAGCAGCAGCAGCAGCAGACGATGCTACAGAAGCAGCAGACGATGCTACAGCAGCAGCAGACGATGCTACAGCACAGCAGACGATGCTACAGCAGCAGCAGACGATGCTACAGCAGCAGAAAGCAGCAACGATGCTACAGCAGCAGCAGCAGCAGCAGACGATGCTACAGCAGCAGCAGCAGCAGACGATGCTACAGCAGCAGCAGCAGCAGACGATGCTACAGCAGCAGCAGACGATGCTACAGCAGCAGCAGCAGCAGACGATGCTACAGCAGCAGCAGACGATGCTACAGCAGCAGCAGATGATGCTACAGCAGCAGAAGACGATGCTACAGCAGCAGCAGCAGCAGACGATGCTACAGCAGCAGCAGCAGCTGACAGTGCAGCAGCAGCAGCTGTACCACCAATAGTAGCGATGGTTGATTGGGGTTTATTATACAACCTGGCCAGCTCGGAGACACGCACTCCACTTTCATACTTATCAATGATCTTTTTCTTCATCTCTATAGTAATTCTCACCCTTATTGCTGTAGGGTTGGCACTAGAAGCTTTCTTGGGGCCCATGGTCACTTATTTTCCAGATAAAATCACCAAAAACACTGTAATAATACGAAATGTTACGATTGTATGCTTGGATGCTACCGCGGAGGCTGGCTGGTAAACAATGCCACTGGCGGAACATGTGAGGCTGGCTAAGGCGCACATTGGACGCGTCTCGGACGAACAGCGGTGAGCGGGTTTTTAAGCGGTATGCGAGGCAAAATTTTTGCGATTAAACCAAGCGGTATGTGGATTAATCGTTATGTGATGCCAGCGGTATGCGGGGGGTCCACTGTATACACCTACCATCCGACTTACGACCGTGTTTTTAATGCCAAATTTCTGGGAAATAAACAACTATTTGTGTTGTGAACAGTGTTTATCCTAAACCTTACAGTATAAAATACAGTACTAACAACATAAAAAGTAAAGTAAAACATGAAATACCAAAATAAAACAATAAAATAGTCATTACAAAAATGTTTTGTTGATATTCAGTAGTAAAGTTCGACTTACGACCATTTCGACTTACGACCGGTTTCTCGGAACCGAACTCGGTCGTAAGTCAGATGGTAGGTGTACTCTATAATGAATGTCATTATATATTTGGCGGCGGTGGCGGCCAACGAGTGTTCGTCTGGAGACAGGACAAAATACTCCTTGAATATTTTGCTATCATCAACTCTACTGCTTATTTATCTATCACAGTTCATCTAATATGAAATAATAAACAATATAAATAACATAGAAACCTGATATATACTCTAGAATGAATAAAATTTGTCATTATGTAACAGGTGGAGGCGACCACAACCGCTCCCTCTTTGTTGTGGTAAACACTGCCATCTAGTGACGGCTGTTGAAGCCGTCTATTATTATAATTATGTAGTACATTATTATTATACTACTATTATTATTATACGTATTATTACAATATAAATAATTTGTAATTTTATTCACACAAAAAATATAAGATTTACTTGTATAAATAATGTCAACCCATTCACGACTGCATACTGGAATGGACAGTGACGTTGTGTGCTTACTCTTGAATATAGCCAAGCAATCGAGCATTTCGTCATGAAACCAATCAAAATCATATCTATTTTTGTAATGTATCTTCCATTCTATCAAATGAGACCAAAAATACAACCATAAAAACCATATGAAAATAACGCTAAGGGGTGGCTAATTGCTGAGAGGTGAACTCCATTATATATGCTCTGACCTCTTCAAGGGGGGCTCCTTGGCGTGGTGAAGAGGCTCTTGGTCTGAGGAATTAGACCTGTCGGTCTACTTCCTCAGACCGAACCTAATAACCCCCCAATCCCCCATTCCCTATCCTATCCTCCCCATCCTCCCCTTTTTCCTTTCCTCCTCCTCCTCCCCACCCCTCCCTTTTGCCCTTCCTTTTTTTTTTTTTTTTTTTTTTTTTTTTCCCACAGGCACGCTAGTTCCTAGGTAGGGGAAAGGGTACCGGGATCCATCCCATTCCGTTGAGGTTCTTGGTGGTGGCGTAGTTTGCCGTGGAATCTGGATTGCCTGGGGATGTCCTGATCCCTCTCCGGTATCCCGGAGGGTGGCTTTGGGTGTCTCTCGGGCGACGGGTGTATCTCTGGAAGCCACCTTTCAGATTCCGGGGGTGGTGGCCAAAGGAGGTATGCTTTGTGGCGGATTTCCGGCCGCCCTCTCTTTTGTCCACCGAGGTAGCTCGGCAGATGTGAGGTTGCTATCCCGGATTGCCGGTTTACTGGCATGATGGGTAGGGTATGGCACGGGTTCCATGCTGCATCTGCGCTACTTGCGGTGCTGAGGTCCTCTTGGGCGCGGAGGGAGATTTCTGGCCCTTTCATTCCTCCTAGGAACTATCCCTCCCCGGTCCCCCCTTTTTTTATTCTTTTTTTTTATTTTTATTTTATTTTCTTCTTTCTTTTTTTTTTCTTAAAAACAAAAAGAAAGAAGTAACCTAACCATGGCAGCCCTAGTCCATGAACCTGCTACCCCCGGGCCCCTTCTTGATACCGCACCCCGTTCTGACCCCGCCTCGTCTTTGGACCACTCTTCGGACACTCCTCATGCCTCTGTACCTCTTGCCGGTGCTGTTTCCTCACCCGCTTCAGGTACTGAGGCCTCGACTGACTCCTTCGATTTATCTGACCTTCGCTCTCCTCTGACTATGCTTCCGGCCTCTCCCTCTACGGTGCGGCAATTTTCAAATCGCCGGCCC